ACGACACAAATGAAAGCTCATTTTCACAAAGTGGTCACTGAAATTCCAACTTACTTCTAGTATACTCAGTTTATAGTGTTTTTAACTATGAACCCCAAGCCAGTGAATCAGTAGAAGGGGGGGAAAACCAGGATCATTTATCAAAGATGTCAAGTGATAAGGTTCAAGCTTTTGGTTTCCTTCTTTCTGAAGCTTTCTCTTAATATCAGGGGTACTTTGTCCTGTAAAGATTATATTGACCATTCTGGCATTTTCAGGGCTCTCGAGATCCAGATCAGTTAACTCAAGAACCAGTCTCACCCGAGGTATTTTCACTTTCCCTAACAGCCAAATCACGACGCCCAAGTAGATGCTATAATACTAGGTACACACAGACAATGGACAGGACAGACACAGAACCACAGTAAACGAATAAATCCCACAAGCTGACGGAGGTGATCTCCACCCCTTCAACCTCTCAGATGGCCCTGCCTGCCGACAGAGGTGATCTTAAAGAATCTCAACCTCCCAGACACATTTACGAGCACTCACACACCCGGAACCAGGACTCTAGAGTCACCAGGAGTCCCTTCTTGTTACCCTACTCGGGGGGATCGGTCATCTGAGGCACCTCTCACCTCAGAAACCAAGGTCTCAGGTCTCACTCTGGAAACCTCGGGCCTGCTCTATCCACCCTGGCCCTGAGGGCAACAGGGAGAGGAGTCGCGGACTCACCTTGGGATCCCTCTTATGCAGGTCTTGCTTTTTTTTCACCCACCTCTTTTGGCACTGTTGGGGACCAGCCGTGCTGTTGCAGACCAAGGTCTGGCCTATTGTCTCCCCAGAGGCAAATGAAATTTCTCCTGGGTACTTGTTGGGGAGAGCCGTCAATCAGCCCCAGGCCCTACCCCGGGGCCGCTGAGTCTCAAGCGGCTGAAGCTCCCTGTACGGGCCACCAAATTTGTTACCACAACAAAGCACATTGGAGACGCCTGCCACAAAAGCCAATTCTGAGACAGGGGTGAGGTGAAAAGCAAGAGTTTTATTATACATGGACATATAGGAGACAGAGAGGAATAGATTCCTCCAAAAAAACAGTCTCCCCCACTGGAAATTGGCTGAAGACTTTTATAGGGACAAGATTATGGGTCTTAGAAGTTTGTGTTAGTTCCCCCTTGAGGTGGTCACGTCCCAGATGAGTTCATCTTTTCTTGGAGGTTTTATCTGGCAACATCCTGCTTTTCTTGTCCCAAGATGGGTGCTTTGTTAGGCTTCTCATTCTTAGGTCATTATCACTTGTTTTCCAAGGAGGAACATCGGTTAATTTTAAACCTTTTGTACAGACTGGAACCCGAGGGAAAAACAAGGTCATGAGACAACGTGGCGGTTAGCAATGGGGAGTAAATAATACTGAGCTGGGCCTATGCAGCCTCTTCCACTAGCACCCTTAGAATAAATTTCAAAGTCTTCCCACGGTCTATATCGTTAGCTGCTGTCCAGTTGATTCCGCTTATGGCGACCCATGGTGTGCAGAGTAGAACTGTGCTCCATAGGGTTTTTAATAGCTGATTTTCAGAAGTACATTTCCAGGCCTTTCTTCCAAGGTGCCTCTGGGTGAGTTCAAACTGTCAACCTTCAGGCTCATAGTCGAGCACTTAACTATTTGTGCCACCCACAGTCTATAACTCCCTACTTCTCTGCTCCCTGTTCCCTTTACGCCTGTCTCCCACCCCTCCCTGCCTCAGTCACTCCACCCTAGGCATGTTGGCTTTGGTGCTGTCCTCTCAGCAGGTCAGGCCTTGCCCAGCCCTGGACCTTAGTCTCTGCTTGCCAGAACTCTTGGCCCCCAGATATCGGCAAGCCACCCTCCTTCATCTTTTTCAGGATTCTGCTTAAATGCATTCCTTCATCATCCCTCCTAAGCAAGCACCCCTCCTCCATCACTTCTACCCCAGCCCCTCCCCCCTCTTTAGTGTTCTTCATGTCACTTGTCATCACCTACCAGTGTATTATGTGATAGATTTTTGTTGGCATATCTTTTCATTTTCTAATAGAAAACCAAACCCACTGCCATCAACTCAATTCCCACTCATAGTGGCTCTAAAAGGACAGAGTAGAACTGCCTCATAGGGTTTCCAAGGCTGTAATCTTTATGGAAGCAGGCTGCTACATCTTTCTCCCAAGGAGGGCTTGATGGGTTCAAACCACTGACCTTTCAGTTAGCAACCGAGTGCTTAACTACTTTGCCACCAGGGCTCCTTTCTAGCAGAATGCAATCAAATTCAATAGAAGGGTATTTGTTTCCTCTGTGGAAAGTGGAGAGAGGCAGGGGAGGGGCTGGATTAGAATGCAATGAAATGCAAGCTCCAATAGAATGCATGCTCCAAGAGGACAGGGACATTGTCTCTTTTGTCTCTGGCTATCAGAAATGCTCAGTGAATAGTTGTTGAATGAATGAAGAAATGAATGAATGAACAAATGGTGGAAAACCAATATTTGATGAACAAATGGAGAAAGGGGTGTAAGGGATCTAAATGAGGATTTTCAGAGGGGTGAGGCATGGTCAAGTTTGAGGACCATGGGCATGAAAAGAAAAAAAATACAGAGACTGTTAAGAACGTTTTAAGAGTACATTTATTACCTATCCCTTCCCTCAGGCAAGGCTCGGCTTTGGTGATGGGGTGAGAAACCTCTTGGGGACATTGCTAGGAGAGAAATCCTTTTACACATTCCTAATTTTGGTGGATATGTTGATGAGCTGTCTCCAGTACTCTGGCCAACAGGATCAGGAACTCCCTAAAGTTGACCTGTCCATCACAATCAGCATCCAGCTCTCGGAATAGTTTATCAATGGAAGCTTGATCTTTGGTATTCTAGGAGAAAGGGATAGCACAGATCGTGAGCTCAGAACCTCCAAACAAGACCCTTCCCTTCCTCTCTCCAGGCCTCCCATCCCTCGAAGATCAGCTAAGGGGGACCCAGGAACATTAACTCATTAGCCAAAACTGTGGGGGAGAACCTCATGTGAGGAAACAGAGGAAGGAGAAAAGGAACTATGGGGAACCATCCAGGAATCATACAAGACTCCACCTGGACGGTACTCCAGAGGTCACCTAATCCAGCCCCTCCACTGCCTCTCTCCACCTCACATACGAGGAAACTGATTCCAGAGAGGGGAAGTACAAGCAGCCTAAGGTGATAGGTGAGCCATGGAGACAGGGAAGTAGAGCACCTGCCCTGCAGTCATCAGAGAACATCCTTGGGACTCTAACTGGGGCTACTTCCTCCCCTACTCCTTGTCCCGCCATCATCCTTCTAGCCTTGACAATGCCCTCAGTGCAGAAGTGTGGGGCAGCTTGACGTGAGAGGGGGCATCACCTACCTTGAGGATGTTTGGAAGTTCCTTTGTGATCAGCTGCTTCAGCTCACTGTTAGAGAGAGTGTCAAAATGCCCCACCCTCACGGAGTACCGGTGGAAGACATTAATGACGCCCTCCAAGTAGCCTTCCAGCGTTGTCGCCATCTTCCCGACCTCGAGTTGACCTGTGAGGAGAGTCAGGAGCTTCAGTCCTGCCTTCCACCCCACATGCGCTCTCTTCTCGAAAGGCATGGCTTCCCCCGATCTGTATTGTGCTCTCTTGACTCTGTGTTTCACCCATGCTGAGTTTTTCATTTGTAGATAGGATGGGGAAGAGAAAGATATGTAATACCAACTAAAATCTACAAGAATAAGCCTGGGTGGCCGACAGTGTTTCATGCCACCCTATTCACGAAGGAGGATTATCTTTAGGGTGTTGCTCACTCATGCTAACCTGGGAAGAGCTCTGTGGTGCATCAGGCTCTTCATAATCCCAGGTGATGTTCTCTGCGCCACACCCCCTACAAACTTTCACCGTCACACCCCACCTTAAAACCAAAAGATCAAACCCGATGCTGACGAGTGGATTCCAACTCATAGAGACCCCACAGGACAGAGTTGAACTCCACCATAGGGTTTCCAAGGAGGAGCTGGTCGATTTGAACTGCCAGCATTTTGGTTAGCAGCCAAGATCTTAACCATTTTGCCACCAGGGCTCCCACCCCAGCTTAGTCATCCGTAAATCCTAAACCTGGGTCTACCTAGCACAAGATCTCCTCTATTTGGGACAAAATGAAGTAAAACCAGAGGTGCTCAGGCAAGTGGGGGGATTGTGGCTACCAAAAGCCTGCAAAGTGGCCACCTGAAATCACCACCCTGTGGCCCCAACCAAGGAAAGGGCACTTACCCTCTCAATGAACAAGCTGCAAGGAGCTGTAGCAAGAAGCCACACTAGTGAGGGATACTGCACCAGGGAGGTTTATATAAGGCACTTCAGGCTTGGCCTTCAACTATGGGTGAAGAAATCCTCTCTCTGAATTCATCTTGAGGCAATTGCTGGACAGGTTCTATTTCTCAAGAAAAGCTTCTAAGCTGTGGCTTTCTCTGCAACACGGACAGCTCAGATTACAACCACCCCATATCCCACCTCCTGCTCAGCCTGAAACAAACATTCCCCACCCCTGCCTCACCAACTCACACACCCATACCCTGCACATCCTTAACCCTGGGCCAGGGCCCAGTCTTCAGAGGTGGCTCCATTTCCTCTCCCTAACAAAGGGCTAAGAGAACAGGTTTCGCTGGCTAGAAGGCTCCTTCCTGGAGAGGGGAGGAGCGGAAGAGACGTTTGACAACTGTCTATCACAGCAAAAATGATAATGACAATAAAAACAACACAAGCGAACACATAACCTTGGAAGAGAAAACGGACATTAGGTAAAATCTAAGGAGCTCTATAAACCATGGGCTTGAGTTAATAATGTATTAATATTGGTTCATTAATTCTAAGAAATGTATGTCAGAGAAAGACCAAGTGATCTGCTCCCCTAAAGACTGCAGCCAAGAAAACCCTATGGGGCAGTTCTATTCTGTCACACAGGTGGTTTGTGGTTGCTTTAGGAAAATCAGTTATCAGCGCCTCCGTTTGGGGCAAGCAAAATGTCACTTTAAAGATCTTTCAGTTTATGGAGGTGTCGCCGGGGTCTTTTCTCTAACCTGGGCAGGCCCTCTCTGATTCTTGCCTTCTACTGACCAAGAATGACCAGGAGGAGAGTTCTGGCAAAATGGCGCTCTAGGCAGAAGCACCACGCCATCCCTCCACAGCAAAGATCCAAAAAACTAAGCCAAACAGAGAATACAACAATCCTGAAACCCTAAAACATCAAAAGAAGAGATAAAGAACTCAGCCAAGCACCAAATGGAGTGAGAAAACTGACGGAGAATGGAGAGGAGGAGAGATTCATGCAGACGTCCCCTACCAGGTAACGCAGCACGGATCTGCCATCTTGGACTCCTATCGGAGACCAGCAAACAGCGGGTACGAGAAAGCAGCCTCACGGAGCTTCCAGCGGGAGACAAAACAACCGGTAATTTTTGATATATGCTTTCCCACCCCACCCCACCCCACCCCCGTTCTTGACCCTGACTCGGCCTCCTTCGCTTCCAGCGGACATAGTATCTTGACCGGGAAACAGCGGCTACTTGGATTCCACACACCCGAACGGGTGGCTCTCTGATTGCCATTTGTTGGCTGCTGGTGTTGCTTCTTTTCTGCTTCTTTTGATTTCTTACTTGCCTCTTGCCACCTCCCCCTCCCTTCGCTCAAGTATCTGGCTCCGTGCGCCATCTTTGCTTCTTCCTGAGGGGCTGTGGAGCTCCGTTTGAGTGTGGAGCTGCTTCCCGGTTTGGGCTGCCGCGCTGGTGGGATCCCGGGGCTTTGTTCATTTGTTTGTTTAGAATTATTTGTTTGTTATCTTTTCCTTTTCTTGAGTTGGGAGCCCTTTCTGGCCAGGCTGAGCTGCGTGGCAGGGAGGCTCCCCTTCGGCTTCCACAGACATGCAGAGGGATCCCTGAGGGCATTTATTTTTAGGTTTTTTTTTTCTTTTTCTGTTTCTTTGGGTGGTCCTTCTTGTTGTTTTCTCTTTTTTTCATTTCTTTTGTTTTCTTTTTCCTCTTTTTCCCTTTTTGTCTTTCTACATTGCTCAGTTTCTCGTCTCTCTTTATCTTCCTTCTCTTTCTGTTCCCTGAATACCTGGCATTGTATACCTCTACGCCTTCTATCCAGGTTGTACTGCAACACCTGAGAGCGACTTCCCCAGACCTCATAGCT